ATATCTGGTCGCTTGGGATTCAGTAAGAAGTGGGCTGCCCTTTGTTGTGTCTGCTAGGGGAAGCAGCTGCCAGTCATCTCTATTCAAATGTTGCCACACAGGTCTCTAATGCCAGATCATCCCACTTGGTAATAGAAATCAGAAATATGGGTTTTATGCAAAACATATTTAAGTGTTTACAGTTCATTACTGTTTACTTTATTAACACAAAGTGAGGGTAAAATAAACTTGCACTTGAGCCATGTCTTATCTCTGGGGTCAACAATTTGCAACCTTGGTTTAGCATATTGTGCAGTGAGTCTTGGCGAGACCTCTGCCCTGTCTTCTCCCTGGATATCTGACTCCAATTGGTGATTTCAACCACCACAAACAGATGTTAGCTCTGGCCTTTATCTGGGTAGTACAGACCTGTGCCCCAAACCCAAATAACCAACTGGATATATTACTGGATATCTCCATCAGGGTATCTTATTGCCTGTGATTGTCAAACATTCATGTCCATGTGAATCATCTAAGGGTCTTGTTAAAATGGAGATTAAGGCTCAGTAGTTCTGGGATATTGTGAAAGATTGTATGCCTCTAGCGAATTCCCAGTTGATGTCAAGGCTGCTTTTCCATGAACCACAATTTAAGACATGACCCCCGCCTGAAGGTCCTTTCAGCAAGTTTGTTCTTCCCCTGTATATCTTGTCTTGGTGAGTGATATACCATCCATTCAATCACCCAAACAAAGGATTCAGGCATAAATTGGATGTAGGTTAAAGAGGTGTATACAGTATTGTAAACTAACATTACTATAATAAATAACAATACAATTTCAAAAGTCAAAACAATGGCGAATCCTGCAATCAATCAGTTGGATATAGAGGGTATGGGGGAAGTAGAGGAGGAATGCTAAGCCATGTCCTGTCTGACTCCGAAATTTATATCCCTGCATTTATGCCTTCATTATCACAACCTTGACTTAAGCCCTCATCTTCTGCAGTAAGACTCTTCATTGGTGTCCTTGCTCCAGTATCTACCCCTCCAATGCTGACTCATACCAGCATGACACTTCTGAAAAACAAAAGGATTTCATATAAAGCATAGGCTCTGCCTTTTTCAAGCTGTGTGACTAAATGTGACTTGTCTAACCTCTCTGTGTATTAGTTTCCTCATCTGTAAAAAGAGTGATAAGAGAACCTAACTGGTTGTGAGAGATAAATAAGGCAATCTATGTAAAGTAGTTGAAGCCCTCAAATACACAGGTGAGCTGTGATGTTGGCCATGTGTGTGTGGTTGGCGTGTTGAGGGTAAAAAGTTAGTGGAAAGAGATAAAACTGGACAGGTAAGCTGAGCCAGATAGTGGAAGGTTAGAATGGAGGTTAGACCAGAGGAAGTTTATTGGGGAGTTCTCTTGGGCTCTATACCTGAAAGGTAAGGCAAGGGAGAAGGATAGGCCAAGGGAATTGACCTGTGTGCACGCACAATATAGTCTCAGTCAATCCATGGGGAACTCTGAGGCTGGGAGAGCCCCATAAAGTTGTCTTCACTGGACAAGGGAAAGAAACCTTTATCACCCTGCCTGGGTCATGCATGACCTGCAGCCTGCCTGGAGCAGTAGTTGGGGCTTTGTGCTAGGTAGGAAGCTCTCTTCAGTCCAGTGCAATGTCAGGAGGAGCACTTGATTGCCAGCTGTCAGCCACCAGAGCTTTCAGCAGCTGGGGACTGAGGAAGTGCTTGGGTCCTGAAAATAATTTAAAGGAGGCAGGAAGTCTGGAAACAGGAAGAGACTTAACGTGTATCTTGGGAGATAAATTTTCCTCAGGTCAAGTCTGTGGGCTTAATAAATTGATTTGAAGCCAGAGAACACATGTAAGGCAACACTCCTGTTCTGGAGAGGGCTTTTGGTCTGGAGCATCCTTTCCTATTTTGAGAGAATTGAAGATTAGGATTAGGTCTTTCCACCGAGTGCTGTGACATGAGCCAGAGTGGAGAAAATGCTTTTATTCAATAATCTCAACATCCAGTGTTGCCTAACATTATATCTGGTTTGAAAACATATGTCTTCAAACTGGATCAATTCTACATGCTTTTACATTTCACACATTTTCTAACTTCTGTGTGAAGCAGAATTTTCTTTATTTAATTCATTTCCCTTCCAAGAAAATAGGGGTAGGAGGAAGTTCACTGAACTGTGATAAATGAAAATTATGGATCCTCCCAGCCTTGCATAAAAACACCCCCCCCACTTTCTTTAATTGAGATGTCATTGACAGATGAGGTTGTATAAGTCACTGACACATAAGATTGGGCAACATTGCTCCGATATATTTATATTTATATTGCAATGTGAATGCCACTGTGGCATTAGTTAACACCTCTATCCCTCTACATAATTATTTCTTTTAGTGTTGGAAACAATTAAGACCTAGTCTCTTGGAAAGTTTAATGTTTAAAATACATAAAATAGTTTTGTTATCTATAATCACTGCACTGTGTTCCATCTCTAGAACTTATCTACAAATTGCAAGGATTTGCCCTTACACAGCATCTCTCCATCATTCCCCTACCGTCCAGCCCCTGTAACCACCATTCTACTCTTTTTTCAAGTTCAGTTCAAGATTGCACATATCAGAGCTAGCCTCCCCCACTGGAGATGGAGGCTAAAAATGACATGTTCATTGTGGGAAAGTATAAAAAACAAACTAAGAAGTGCAACACTAAATGTGTTGGCATGTGTCTTTTCAGGCTTCCTTTCATGCAGTATTTTTTTTTACATATTTGTGTTCATACCATATAAAGCTTTGTATTTGGTTTTCTTCTCTTAGGAGTAACGCGTGAGCCTTTTCCCACCTCATGCTAGTATTTGAGTGGCTGCATCTTACACCATGTCATGTCACAGTTCAAGTGAATTCATCAGCTAGTTCTTTGAGTTGAACACTTAGGCCGTTTCCAGCTTTTCCATATTAAACATTATTATCTGATAAGCATCTTAGAAATGAAATCTTTGTTTGCATTTTTTAAGTTGTTTTCTTGGGATGGATTCCTAGAGGTAGAATTACTGGATCTAAGAGCAGATTTCTAGGAGTGGGATTAATGGATAAAAATATTTTTGTAGGTGACAGGAGGATATGCTCATTTCTACTTCCTCAAACTACAAGTCTCACCACTCTCTTGCCAGTGTTGCATGTTACCTTTTCCCCTTTCCTATAGGAAAGAAGTCAGCTAGAATGGCATCACAATTTTTTATTGCTAGCAACACCCAACATTTTTCATGTTTTCCACCACTGGTATCCTCTATTTTGTGTACTACCTATTCCAACTTTTGCTCATGTATTGACTAAATCCTTACAGGTTTTCTAGCAATTAAAATATGTTCTTAAAAGATAATGAGGTAACCTTTTGTCATATTCCTTGCAAATGAAAATACAACTCATAACTTTGCTGGTTTTTACAAATGTCTTTGCCACCATACTGTTTTGGGATTTTTTTTTTTTTATTAAAAAGTTTATTTTTACATCATTTTTCACATTTTTTTTTCCATCTCAATTGTAATCCCCATGGGTTGGATTTTTTTTTAAAAGATAATTCGATTCTAACTACAGCTGAGCACCCTCCCTTTGGAGTCTTTTTCCTTGATGAAACTGAAGAGGTTTAAGAAAAGCTCTGGAAGGGCCATTTCAGCGAATCCTAAATTTAGATCTGTGGAAAAAAATCTGTGAACCCGATTTGAAGATTGTTCAGCTCATATGCACTTTTAAATTATTTAAGAAGATTAGGGGGGGGGCAGGGATGGAAGCTGTTTGTGCCAGAAATTTTTAGAATTCTGAGGTAAGCCAATTCTCTGTCTCCTGTGTGTGTTGGGAGGGGGAGTAAATTATGTGCAAGCGAACAGAATTCTTGATGGAAAAGTACTGCTCTGGGCTGCAGATGTGTGCATGGCTTGGTTTTAATTATTTTTCCCCTCTTTCTATCCTTTCTCCCGCTCCCCTCCCCCGCCACAATAAAGGCCTACAGATTAGACCTCCAAAGGGCACAGACAGCCCTTCCTCTTTAAAGCCCACTCCAGTGCAGCCGGCTAGCACATCAACGGCCGAAAGTAATACCTAGGCAAGGAAGGGACCAAAGTAGGATACTTCCAAACGCTCGCCTTCATCTGGGCTCCCCACAGCGCTGTTGTGACTGCCAAGGGTAGCTCACTCGACAGACTTCAAATTCATGAAAGCTGCCAAACAAAGAAACTTCGGTCATTATTCTGGGGGCCAGCGCAACCACAGAACGATGGTCGCTGATGCCTCCGGACTGTGCAAACAAGAGACTGCAAAAGGGTTTAGTGTTTCGAGAACCCAGAGTAAATCGGATTATCCGTTCCGTTTCCCCAGAGCCTGAGAGAGCTATAAACGGGCATGTGCACTGACGTTAGCTATCCCGGGGGTGTCGCCCCAGAACACCGGGGGTGAGGGTGTGGGGGGGCAGGACGAAAGGAGGGACATCAAGGACAGCGAATGGGGATCCCTAAATTGAAAACCAATAATCTGGTCTCTAAGGTGTAAAGCAGAGCAAGAAGAGTGAGTTCCTCGTCTCCTGAGAGAGCCTCGTGGTCTCTCTCAGTGAAGCAAGAGCAATGGAGTGGGTGTTTGGCGCGCATCAGGTGGTGGAGGGCCTCTCTCAGAGCTGGGAGAAGCCCGGGCTCGCTGAGTGGGTTGACAGGCGAGGAGCAGCCGGGGGTGCGGAGGAGGGCTGCGTGCTGCGTCGCGGTGATCTAGACGATGGCGTGAGGATGGCGTGAGGCTGGGGCTGGGGCCTCAGGTACCGCTGAGTGGTGGGCTGGGCGCTCTCGCGGCCTAGGCCGAAGGAACGGGCTGGGGGAGGGGAGCCACGCGCCTCAGGCCAGGTGGGGGGCCCGCGCCGGGCGGGGCGGGGCTGAGCGGGGCGGGCGCGTCTGCGGCCCCGGGGAGGCGTGGCTATTAGGCCCCGCCCCAGAGGCCCCGCCCCCTTTTCTAGCTAGTTCAGCGCCGCCGAACCCCGCGCGCCAGAAGCTCGCGGAGAGGGAGGAGAAAGCTCAGTTCCGGAGCCCTTCTGAGTCCGGCCCAACCTTTGCTCTCGAGATCATGGCTGCCGAGGATGTGGCGGCGACTGGCGCCGACCCGAGCGAGCTGGAGGGCGGCGGGCTGCTGCACGAGATCTTCACATCGCCGCTCAACCTGCTGCTGCTCGGCCTCTGTATCTTCCTGCTCTACAAGATCGTGCGCGGGGACCAGCCGGCGGCCGGCGGCGACGACGACGACGAGCCGCCCTCGCTGCCCCGCCTTAAGCGGCGCGACTTTACCCCCGCGGAGCTGAGGCGCTTCGACGGCGTCCAGGACCCGCGCATACTCATGGCGATCAACGGCAAGGTGTTCGACGTGACGAAAGGCCGCAAGTTCTACGGGCCGGGTAAGGCGGCCGGCCTGAGGGGAGGGGGTCGCGGGGGGCGCCGAGACAAAAGAAAACGCCCCTGTGCGGGGCTGAGACGCGGAAAAGCGAGGGAGGCGCGGGGCCCCCCTGGGGGTGGCAGTGGCGGCGGGGAGGGGCGAAGAGGGCGGCTTCCGGGGCGGGCAGGGGGCGAGCGGCGCTCTGGAAGGGCCGCGGGTCCTTGAGGGCGCAGGTTTCCCGCCGCCCCGCCA